GAAGAAACAGATTACTTCATGTTTGGCTCTGCGCAGGCAGAATGTTGTTTGGCATCTCTGCAGGTTGAAGGTTGGAGTTAATTAATACAGGTTTTGTTTTGTTGTCATTTGCTTTGTATGTCTCGATGTTTGCTCCCCCGGAGCTGAGTTTGGAGCTGTGTTCTAGTCCTCAGGGACATCGTTCATCACAACACAGCAAGCTCCTCAAAAGTCTCAAATAAATTTATATTAGGTTCTCCTTCTTCCAGATAGCTGCAACTTCTCTATGAAGGATACGCCCCTATAGAGGTATCATATCAAAATGGGCATATTTTATTTTTTATTTTTTGCAATTTTTCATATAAAGTTTTAATAGCATGACTCGGTGAATGCAAAAGAGAGCGGTGAGTCATGCAACTTTCAGCTCTGTGAGTTTAGTTTACCCACCAACTTACTTTGTGAGCTCAGTTTTCCAAATTTAGCAGCTTGTACAAGACTAAAATTAAAATTGCATAAACTGGCAAAAGATCACATGCACTTTCTCCATTCAAGGCTATAACAGATCATCAAATAATTACTTTCACAGCAGAATTTAGGACGTCCAGTCAAACTGTAGCAGCTTAGTTTTTCTTCAGGTGGTGTATTTTACTTAAATGTCTTACAGTAGTTGTCTGTTGCATTGTCCCATTTAAATAAATGCTGCACTGATGAAATATCCATTATTTATCGTGCCCATGTGACGTTCTCTTGTATTAATGTTGTATATCTTTGTGCATCGGTGTCAGTACTTGTTGAATTCATCCAAACACAAAAAACAAAAACAAATGTGAGATGAAAGACAAAAAATGAATGTTAATGTGCCACACAAAAATGTTTCAATACTAGAATGTTATGCAGTTGAGATAAGTGTAGTGCTTAAAGTTTACTTTGTGTGTTATGGCAACAGATTTATTTGAGACATGCACAGTGAGAATATTGATTAGCAGATATTGCATCAGATAAAAATCCACAGTTAAATGTAATGACATTTGTGCTATATTATAAATTCAAAAGAAAGCTGAAGGCCAAGCATTCTTTGAAGGATTGCATATCAGCCACCTCTGTACATGTGCTGAGAATGGATGGAGCGATGGCTGTTTTGATCAAATCTTGTTAATGAAGTAAATGATCTCACGTTATTATGAGATCTTGTAAGATAGGGAAGTGATCAGAGTATACTTCAGATCTGCCACTTAGTAAACCTTTTAAGGCCAAATTATGTTGTTTATACATAAAATCAATAGTGGCAATGGAAATGTGCACGCCAGCTAATGTCCAGTTTATCTCCAGGAAAGCGTATGTGATTTGAACTCAGATGTTCTAACAGACTAACAAGTAGACGTGTGCTTGTTAGAACATCATGCCCAAATTTGAGGTTGCTTTTCTGCTCAGGACAATGTGACGTGGAAAGCATTTTGCCAGCATGCACGTGCGTGTGTGAAACAGATGTATGACACAAGTTTGAGAGATATGCACTCCTCGATTCTTCACAAATGGAGGAGTCGGCATTTTCTCTGTCCAGATGAATTTCCGTAATAAACCTCCCCATTTTGCTGTCTAAAAGTTAGACTGTTATTTAAGTCATGAAGTCAAAAATACATTTCACTAGCACGACAAATTATAGCTGAATATCTGAACATTTGACTGTTATAGCCACTTTTGTGTTGGCTAAGGTTGATTAACTGTTGGGGGCCATCTTGAATTTGGTTCACTTCGATCTCTAAAATCATTGAGCACTGCCTATAAGGTCTTGCTCTTCTATCAACTTTAATGTGGCACAAACCGCAACGTCTACCCCCACAAATTTTATATCAGAACGACCTGCTCAGCACCGTGATGTGTGCCATTACTTTTATTGACATTTTGAGTAACCGTGGCGATGTAATTTGCAGACAAAGATGCCATTTTTCCTCATTGAAAAAGCCTGAGGGAACTCAACAGCCTCTGACTGCCACAGTGAGGTCATATGACCTAGAGGGGAGAGGTCTCTGAACAAGACTCAGTAAGTCATCGAACAAACTCTTCTTACCACCAAATCTTTTAACATACACACATAGCAAAATGTTTTGTTATCTTTCCAACCAGTATTTCTGGAGTGGCTGTCGGAGTTATGGTTAAATCAGCCAGTTGTATTAAGATGAACTTGGGTGTGGGGGCAGCTGAGAGCAATGCCCAATAAATACTGAATTGTAATAACAATCCAAAATGGCCACCAAAGCTACATTTAAATGGCTTTAACTCAGCTATTTCTACACATACAGGGCTGAAATTTAGTGTGGTTATAGATGAGAATATTCCCCATCACATACTGAATCCAAATCGAAAATCCAAGATGGCCACCATAGATTTAAAAAAAAAAGACATACTCATTGATTTTTTTTTTTTTTTTTTGCCACATTGAGCTGAAATTTGGTAAGGTGGTAGCTGAGAGTGAACCTTAACACAGTACTGTCAAATCAAAAATTTTAAAATGGCTGCAACATGGCAGTCCCCGTCAAAGTTTCTCTAGGAACTTTCTAGCATTATTATTTGTTATACTGTAGATGTGCTTACACTCTGAGGGATTCACTGACATCTGTTCAGTGGTTCCTGAGATGTTTAGTTATATTTTGTGAAGGATGTATAGTTTTAATCTAATCTGCATGTGAATCTAAGTAAATAAAGCTTCTCGTGCAGTCATAAAATGCTTGGAGCTAATCATTCTCTACACATATGGAGAAAGCATCCAGGATGGGAAGTGAAACATCTTCAACACAGATGTCCTGTTTTGTTTTTTCACCTTATTTTTCTTTTAATGGATTTAGTTAGTTAACAGAAAGACAGTGTTGTCTCTAACAGTTATTGCCAAAGTTTTGAGAAAAGATATTGTATACTGATTAGAGTATGTGTTGGGAATATGCTTATCACAGTCCGGTAGGTTAAGCCCAAGTGCAGACACGGGAAGCAGGATGTAAAATAAAGATGAATTTATTAATTAACTAAAACAAAAAGCTGTGTGGCAGCAAAACTTACATGAAAACACGGGGGAAAACAAAGGACGGAGACATCTGACGTGTCACAGAACAATGAGCAAGATAAGGGATGGTTTAAATAAAAAGCTGGGTGAGCGTGAAAGTGGAAACATCTGGGCTGAACACTGATTAGGTATAGGGTGGCAGGCCGAATGGAAAAATACTGTGGAGGTTTACTGAGGGTAAAAGGAAAATGACACATCTTAGGAATCAGAAACAAAACACAGATCCTCTTAACGCTCATCTTAACACCAAATTTAAGCTCCACGTCATAAGTCCGACTAAGTTTAGCTATTTTTGTGGTTGCTAAGGTCACTAAGCTGTAGCAGCCATCTTAATATTGTATCACAAGGCTCAGTCTTAGGACCCACCCTCTTTACAATCTACATAGGTAATGTAGGTCAGAGCATCCCTGATACATCCTTACATTTCTGTGCTGATGACACAGTTGTTAATTGTCGAGCTAAAACAGTTGCTAAGGTTTTCCAGCTTTAGCAATCTGCCTTCGACATCATCCAGTCTGATTTGTTCCATCTCAAACTGGTGCTAAACGCCGACAAAACCAAAGGAATGTTGTTTTCAAACAGGAAGTCAGTCCCAGCAGTTCTTCTTTTGATTTGATCCTCGAATGGTGTCTCTATTGAGTTTGTTGATTGCGATGGGTATCTTGGTTGATTTGTATCTCTCTTTTAAGCTTCACATGGAAAACTTAGTAAGGAAACTGTAAGTAAAATTGGGTTTCTTTTTCAGAAATAGATCCTGTCTAACCCTGAATGCTAGGAAACACCTTGTAACTGTGACTTTCCTTCCCTCCATTGATTACGGTGACATTGTTTACATGAACGCTCCTACAAGAACCCTGCAGATGTTGGATGCTGTCTATCATGGTGCACTAAGATTCATAACTGGCTGTGATTATCGTACCCACCACTGCACCCTGTATTCACTGGTTAACTGGTCTTCATTAACTTCACATAGACTTTTCCACTGGTACATTTTCATCTTTAAATCACTTCTTGGTCTGCTGCCTTCATACATCTCCTCCTACATGTCTCTGCGTGAGTGCAGCTACAGCGTTTCCTGGAATATTTTGCAAAAGATCTGAAGCTCTCGACCTTGACCTCTTTAAGTGGCATTAAACATCTGTTAAGTTCATGGCAAAAACCAACTCATACATGTTCCTGTTTTTAGTTTTCGACACCACCTTATAATCTAGCTGTTTTTTTGTTACTTTTTTATTACTATTTAATTTTCACTTGTTATTCTCATTTTGTACACATCCATTATGATTGTCTACTGTTGTCTTTGTTGTCCATCACTCTTTGTTAAAATCCGGTCTCTCTTGTAAATGAGTCCTCGAGGCTCAATGGGACTAAACTGTATAAATAAAGGTTGAATGAAAAAATATGGGTTGACTCAAAAATTAATGAGCTGGTACATCCAGTTATTACTTTCTAAGAGTTTCATTAAAATACAGATATTTTGCTTATGATACAGAAAACCAAACACACACACGCACAGAGACATGGGCTAAAACACTAATGCACAATAAAAAGTAGGCTACATGTTGTCTCAAAAGGAACATTTGTCAAATGCTTTTTAAAAAAACTGATAATTGCTGCAAGCGAATGCTATCATTCATTTAAACGATAGTGGTTAGAAACACTCCATAGACTGTGGCTTTCTCAGTGACCCTTGGAGAAGAGTTTTTAACATGTGTCTGAGCATCATTAAATGAACTTCCTGTGAGAAGCAACTGAGGATGGGGAGGTGTTTAGGACCATGAGGAGTGAGCTGTTGAAGAAGGCAGAGCATCACTGAGGAGAGAAGCATGAGTGAGTGGGAGGTGGGAGAGTGGAGCATCCCTTTCTTTTGCTGCGTTCTGATGTGAGTGATGCTGCCGCTCGCTCAGATGTTGCATGCTGAGGAGTCCCAAGATAGGATCAAGGCTGGCCTTGGAAACCTGGGGATATGAAGATGAAGATAAAAGTGGTAAATATGCAGGAGAGCTGGTGGGAGAAGAGAAATATATTTTTTACTGTGCCTTTGTGTGGAGAAATGAGTTGTAGACCGAGAGCTCTGCGACCTCTATTGCCCTCTTCTTATTTATAACACTCAGAAAATATAAGCCTGTAAAGGTTCATCCTTGGGAAGTTGGTTTCTTTTTGTAGTTTTTGCAGCTTTGGTTAAAACGTGTTGCATGTGTAACAGAGACTGCTGGGAGAATTTGAGAGGCACAGCTGATGTTTTCTTTGCAGCCGTGCATGAGGAATAAAAGCAGCTTGTTTTGTTGGATTTCTGCTTTCAGAACTGACGTTGAAGCTTCAGGAATGTCCTGGAGCCTTAAAATCAGACTGAATGTTGATGCTCATTTTTTTTAAACGTCTCTCCAGTGTCAAGGGGTTGGTGGCATCATCCTCGCTACCATGGTTACAGGTTTTATGTTGGTGTATAACAGCAGCTCCAGCAAAAGATCGTCCTTCTCGTCGTCATCACCTTCCCGCCACGTGGAGGCTCCCATTCCAGACAGGACAAGACCAGAGGGGCACCCAACATCAACTCTGGAGGGGTACACGGGTGTCATGGACTTCAAGGTAAATACGGTTCCTGCATCATAGTTGATGTTGCACCTGACTTTATGAAACACATGTTTTCACCTTATTGCATGAGCCCAGCGGAGTGTAAACTACTGCACTGGAGCCACATGTGGCTCTTTAGCTCCTCTGTAGTGGCTCCGTGTAAATTTGCCATAAATTATGGTGAAATGTTAATGGTGATGGTTAGATTCAAATTGACAATAAAAACACAAATTTTCAGCAATTATCCTGCCCAAACTATTGCAACCTGTGCATGAAATTTCAGCTTTGTGTTGGATAGATATATCCTCTATTCATTTTACTTACACAAAGAAGTCACACTCGACAGTAGAAGATTGTTCACTGGTTTTACTTGCTAGGGCAGATTTTCACAGCAGTTGACACAGATGTACAGAACTTATATGCATGGAGCCCAGTCACAAGAATCTGCCACGGGCAGTGTGCGAGGCTTGTTTTTATAAGCCCGTTAGCTCCCGGCTCACAGGCAGCAGACTGGTGTCCTTGAGCATCAAGCTGCACATGCAGGATCACATCAGCTTCTCATTCAGCTCTCTGAGAGAGAAAAGAAGTCTCTGGTAACTCAAACACATGGTTCATGGGCAGTTAACATTCTCAGCCATAGCTGTTAAAAACCTTGACCAAAATTCCCTGACACTTTGTGCAATTTTCTGACCTACAGTGAGGTTATTTTCCACCAGAGAAATCACATTTGTCAATCGGTTTTAAGTGCCATAGGAATACAGTCCTCAACAAGAGACCATCCCATTCATAGATCCCATCACGCAGCGGATGTGACCAGCCAGAGACGTGTCAATATTTAGCTATTCAGCAAACTAATTTGGGCGGCTGTGTCTGAGTGGTTAGAGCAGTCGTCCTCCAATGCAAGAGTTGGGGGTTCTAATCCACAAGCAGTCACATGACGAAGTGTCCCTGGGCAAGACACTGAACCCCTCATTGCCTCCGATTTGTGTCCCATCAGTGTGTGAATGTGATAAAGCTCTGATTAATCTCTACAGAATGATTTGTTCAATTAGCTTTGTATAATAGAGTGCTGTGTGAATTTGTAAATGAGGGCACAGATTGTAATGTAAAGCACTTTGAGTGTCTTAATAAGATAGAAAAGCACTATATAAGTACAATCCATTTACTATTTAAGCTTAATCATCACATTAGTGGACCCAAACCTTTAACAAAAAATGTTTTCCTTCAGAAAATATGTATTTAAACATCCTGATGCATGCTCAATAATCCAGGTAGAAAAATCTAAAAAAGTTAAATCTGGTCCTCTGGACATTCAAAAAACCAAAAAAAAGCAAAACAACAACAAAAAATATAGAAACGTTTCGTCTCTCATCCGAGAGACTTCCTCAGTCTGAGGTGCTGTATTCAGCTCAGTCTCTTAAATAGCACCTTCTCAGAGTGGATCAACCAGTTTTGCTGCTGACAACCAAAACCAGCTGATCACATGCTCAAGAAGGACCATCAGCCTAACAATGGATCATTAGCACACTGATGGCTGTTTACTATTCACAGAGGGCTGAGTGATACTAGCAATCACAGCATTGTAAGAGGGGGACAGTTGAACCCGTAGGTCTCCACCCCTGTTTAATGATGGACGATTTCTTTTCACAAAGATGGCCTCCTTTACTCCTCTCTCAAACCATTGTTCCTCTCTGTCCAGGATGTGAACATCTTCATCCTTGAAAGAGTGACCGCTGGCCTGTAGATGAGTGTAGACCGCAGAGTCCTGGCCTGATGATGTTGATCTTCTGTGCTGGGCCATATTTTATATTTAAACATGTTCAAATAATAAACCCATGCATTGTTTTTTTTATTTTATTTTTTTGTATTTCTGGTTTCTTTTTCACAGACACTACAGAACTGATAATTTCCTGCACAGTTTGTTTCATTCAGCAGTTCAGGTTCATTCCACAACCGAGACTTTATATGAATAGAATTATATTTCTTCTAATAAGTGTCTCAGTTTTCAGTTCTCTAAACCAGCATATATTTATTTACTGATGCTTCTATAGTTATAGTTTGTTGTGGTACAAACAATGTTTTTGTTCGTAATAATCCATTTGAAAAATAAAAGCATAAATGTTAATCTATGACAAAGCATCCAAATACTGGTAACTTGAATGTTTTCTCACACATCGTTTTTATTCAATGTTTTTCATTATTTGTCACCTGCAGTGACTCAACTGGATTTACAGACAGTTTGTGTTCAGAGGCAGATTTAATACATTTTGTGTGATGACATTGAATAATTATCTTCTTTGGACATGTTTACATGATACATGCCAGTCATTTCTGGTAATTGAGTCACTGCAGAATGTAACAGCTGATGACGGAAAAAGAAGCACACTTTGAGATGAGAAATGAAATGTCAGTGTTTTGAAGGATTTATATGTAATGATGGTGTCCCACTGACCTAAACCTTGTGTAGTGGATGTAAGTCCAATACTGGACCATGATTTATAACATGTACGTGGAACTGGTAATAGAATATATAACTCAATGGCCTTAAGTATTTTGGGGGAAAATAGTAACAATGCGTAAACAATTTAGTGTTTTCAGAAAGAGTAGAGCCTGTTAGAGTTTTATTTTTCACATCTTAAGCACTGAAGTGAAAAGCTGACTTTCCTGAGATAGTGCCAGCTCTAAATTCTCTCTGTTTTATAATTCATAATTTATGTGTTCATCATACAAAATTTAGTAACAAAGGAGCTCCACAAACCAACTGGAGGGATTTCTTCTAGGCTGCTACAGGGCCTAGAACAGAGCCACTATAATGTTTTTCTTCTTTGTGTGTGTGTGTGTGTGTGTGTGCGTGCGTGTGTGTGTGTGTGTGTGTGTGTGAGCACAAACCATCAGTCATATTGAGAAACTGTCAGTCATACCCAGTCCATCGTTAGTGACTGTTCACATACTGCAGCATGGCTCTCCACATGAGAAAAAGATTGGTGTGTGTTACTGTTTTTATGGATATTTATTTTGCTCTCACCTTTATCATTCACAGTTCAGGGTCAGAACTTCATTTCTAGAGCCCAGTTTAAGCGGTGGTTTGTTAGGCCCTGCTGTGGTTTCTCAGGAAAGACAAAGCAGAGCTGACCTGCTCTAAGATCTGCGTGGGGGTGGGTGGATCTTCAGTGTCATGAGGTCTTCTGTCATCTCCTGGAGGAAATCGTAGCACAGACACACACACACACACACACACACACACACACACACACACACACACA